CCCGTGCTGCGAGCAAACAGGAAACAAAGGCAGCGCTATTGGGGAGCACTGGGACCCCTCCTGCTTGTTTGCCTTGGACATGGCAAGTCCAGGGGGGCTCTTGCTCCTTCTGGCCAACTCTGCTCCCTGAACCTCACTGAGACCCACAAGGATGGTTCTGTGCACCCAGTGGGACACTGGGACCAACATGCTTCTTCAATTTTTATTTTTGGCCACCTAGCAAGCAGCACGGCAGGTCCCTGGGACTGGGGCACTCTGGATGGGCCTGTTCCCACAGCACTGCAGGTCCTGCAATGCAGCAGGGCCTGGCAGGCTCCCTGCACATCTCTGGCCCTTTGGGCTTTGGGAAGCCGTGCTGGGGAAGCCTGAGATGGGGGAAGGGAGGAGAGAAAGAGCCCTTCTGCCGCACAATCCCGGGTCTTGTACCCGGGCTCAGCTGCTGCTGGAGCCCAACAATATTCTGCAGACAGGAGGAGGAGGAGGCAGGGTCCTGGCAGCCCCTGGGAACAGAGCACCCCTGGGAATGGAGCTCCTGGGGGGTATGCCGAGAAGTATTAGTGCTGGGGCATCAGTAGGGAAACTGAGGCACGAGGAGTGCCTCCGTTTTCCCAAGGCTGCCAGCACACAGGTGGCACACACCGTGGCAGGTCTCGGGACCCTGCCTGCTCCTTCCAGTTCCCACCAGCTCCAAGAGGGACCTCTCATCTCCCCAGCCCATGTGGCAAGGGCTTGGGTGGGACCAGCTGTAGGGGTGGCATCTGTCCCCACAGAGACCATGTGAGGACCCGGGGACAGAAAAACGCTTTGGGAAAGGAAAACACCCCCCTTGCCGTGCCGAGACACCCTCCTCCCCCAGCAGCTGCCGCAGCCACGCTGGGGCCACCAGGACCTGTCCAGCACCAACGAGAAGTCTCAGGGGGCTCTGCTCTGGGACAGGGCCCCCAGAGCCACCAAGTGACAGCTCTTTGGGTGCCCACCACCCTCACCCCCATACTCACCCATTGTTGGACTTGGTCAGCTCCCCCGACTGCTTTGGTGTCTGCCGGAGCCTCGCTTGCCTGCAGCTCCCTCACCTCGCCCTGTATTTCCCCCTCTGGGTGCCTGTCCCGCTCTCCAGCAAAGAAAAGGGCTCTCTGAGTGACAGCCACCCCCCTTAAAGGGACGGGACCCCGCCCCTCCTTCCTGGCCCCCCCAGCAGCACCCCTTGGCTGCCAGCTCAGGGTGCCTGCTGGCTGCGTGGGCAGAGCCACCCCATGCACTGCTCGGGGCTATCGGGGGAAACAGGCTCTTGCAAAAGAAAGGGAGCAGCCTGGGGAACTGGGGGAATTCAAGGGATGTCCTCTTGTGGGTGGCTTTGGGGACCCCCTCCACCCCCCCACCCTTTGGCCAGGCTGTGTTTGCCTTGAGCTTCTCACCATGGCAGTGTGGGAGACACGGGACAGCAGCAATGCCCCTCTGTCACCTCCTTGACCCCCCAGCACCTGCCAGTGGGGAACAGGGGTCCCCTGTCTCAGGGACTTGCTTTTAGCCTTGGAGGCTCCAGACTGGGAGTTGTCCCCCTTTTGATGAGAATCCTGCAGCTGCTTTCCCTAACCCCTTGTTCCCTGTGGGGGAACAGCACTGGGGTGGGCACAGCCCTAGGGTCCCCAAGTGATGGGTATGGCTCCAGGATGGCAGCAGGTGGACACAGCTCCCTTGGGTGCTCCCACTCCCATGGGTGCCCCCAGCTTCCCTGCAGAGCCAGCACAGGGCTGGGGAAGCCTGCAGAGGGCAACCGGCCCCTTCCCGGCAGGCATGGGGGGACAAAGCCCCTCTGTGTCCCTCAATGCCCTGCCTTGTGCCAGGCAGCGAGGTGGCAGGGCCTGCCTGTCCCCGGGGCTGGGGATGCTGGCAGGCTGGGGCAGTCCCTGGGCTGCAGGAGGCCAGGAGCAGGGTGGTCCATCCTGAGGGGACCCCTGCCCCTTACTCACCCATCTAAGCAGCCACCCCCTGGCTTGCCTGCAGATGGGCTTGAGGAAGGAAACACCCCTCGGGTAGCCCAGGAGTGAGCCCCAGCTCCTGGCCCCCCAGCACCACTCCCTGCTTTGGTTTCCCACTGTGTGGCAGGGTGGCAGAGGGCTGCCCACTGTCCCCAGCCAGCCGTGGGGCAGGAAGGGCTGGGGAGGGACAAGAGAGTGGGGAGACCCTCTATCACTGCTTTGGGTGGCATCCTTGGGCACCTCTCTTAGTCCTTCAAGTGGCACTCAGCAGGGACATCATCAGTCATCTCGTAATGGCCAGGGGAGGGTGACAGCCTTGCAGCATCCCTTTGGAAGTAACATGTGACCCCTACAGCCACTGGGAACCAGCAGGGCCCAGCCTGCACCCCTGGCTAACAACAGGAAAATATATGTCATTAAAAATACCCCCACATAAATGTAACATAATATAAAAAATAAAAACATGTCGTTGGGGAAAAAAAAAAAGTAAGCCTTTATTTTTCTTTCCATAGAAATTCCATTCTTGCTGACTCTGCAATTTCTGAACACCCTGAGGGGAATCACAGAATCTTAGGAAGCAGCAGCTTTATGCTATCAGAGAGGAGGTGGGCAACTCAGGTTTGTGATTTCTGCACAAGGTGCAGAAAATTCCATTAAATCCCAATTCTAGGGGATTGGGTACTGTTTGTCAGCAGGCATTTCCCTCCTGGGAGGGTAACCCCTCTGCTCTGCCACGAGCATCACCCCCTGGCAGCAGGGACCAGCCCATCTCCCAGCTGAGCTCCTGGAGATGTTCCAGAGCAGAGCTGCAAAACAGGGAGATGGGGAAAAAGGGAATATCTCCTTGCACCCTTGGCATTTCAGTTGGAGAGGTTGTGAGAGCCCCTCCTGCAAATCCTCAGCAATCCTGCAGCTCAGCCCCTCCCTGGATGGGGCCCGAAGAGCAGCCTGCAGCTGCAGGAACCTGCCAGCCTGCATAAAGCTTTCCTTGTCGGCTCGTCCCTGCCAAAGAAAATGCTGCTGTTTCCCAGGCAGGGAGGAGACACATCCATTTACCAGCCAGGAGGGGGCCATGCCAGGCTGGTAAAAATAAACATGCTTATAAATCAATCCGAATCACCTTGCAATTTGTTCTGACCCTTGGGCAGTGGCCAATTATGTCCAAAACCACCTCTCAAAGGGCAATTAAGGGCTTAGCTACCTGCTCTCATTAACAGAGCCTGGGACTGCCATCCTGCCCCTTGTGACCCATGCCAGGGGCTAAACAAGAAGCCTTTCCCTCCCCAGCCACCCACAATCTGCAGTAAGATACTGGAATGGGCTGCACCAAAATGAGGTATGTGGAGGAAAATATGCACATCTGTAAATACACCACCCTCTGGGATGGTTGTGGGGTTTTCCCTTCCATTTTTGGTTCTTCACAGCTGTGGCTCAGGCTTTCCCTGGGCCATGGAGAAGGCAAGCTCAGGGCTGGAGGGACAAGGAGGTGACTGCAATGGCAAAGGGGGAGCCACACGGGCACCACTCTGCCACGTAAGGGCAAAGCAGTGAGATGGGAGAACAAGCAGCAGCATATGGGGCAGAGAACCAAAGCATCCTCCCTGTCCCCATATGCAGCCACTTCACCCATAATTGCCACAGACAGCCTGTCACAGCCACTCCCATCACACTGATGGCTCAGGACAGCCTCCTGCTTGCCCTGGCCCCCCTGGCACACACCAGGCATGCAGGCCAGGAGGTAGCAGGGATGCTGGTGGCAGCAGGGGCCAGCTGAGAGGAGGAGGTTCCCTGCTCCACCCCAGCTGCTGCAGCTTCAGGAAGGATTTTCCCCAGCTGATTTATCTGCTTACATCCCCACAGGCTCATTTTCTGCACTGCCCTGGGCACAGGGTGAGGTATTCACAGACACATGGTGGCCAAAATCCCACTCTTCAGTGAGTGCTGACCCTGCAAAACACAGAAAGCCCCTCTACCCTGCACGCCCCAAATGCAGGCAGATCCCTGGTACACCCAAGAGGAGCTGGCGACAGCATGTGCAGTGCCCTTATCCATTATGGATGGGGCAGCAGGAGAAATCCTGGTGTATCTTGTCACAGCTGAGAACCTTGCTGCTATTTTTAGGCAGTCACTTCCCCAGCCAGGCTGAATTTCTCGTTATCTGCTACTGATTTTAACTGTCCTTCTTCACCTGCCTCAGTTCACCCATCAGTGGGGTAAAACATCCCAGCCAGGGAAGTCCAAGAAAAGCCCTGGTATCGAGCTGCCCCAGGGCAGCTCTGTGCCCAAGGCAGCAGCCAGGGATGCCCAGGGATTTTCCTGACCGTTCAAAAGCTCCTGCTCTCCCAGGCAGCCCCATCCAAGCTGGAGAGGAGGCATCGACCACAGGAAGGTCACAGCAGCCCCAGCAGCATCTGTCCAGCTGCCTCCTCCCGACGGTGCCAGGGATGCTGCCCGGGCCTGGCTGCTCTCCCTGCCCTCTTTGTATTCCTGGGTTGCTGCAAGGCTGCAAAATGTGCTAATAAAAATCAAATTAAAATTTAAAAAAAAACAACAACACAACAAACAAAACACCAAAGAAGCAGCTGGCAGAGGACAGGGTGACATGCTGAAGGACAGTCAGGCCAGCAGCGTGGGATGACAGAGGAAGGACAGGGGCTGCCCCCTCCCCCCCACCAAGATTCTCATCAAGCTCATTGCCAAGTGCAGCAAATCCCCTGGGTTCATTACAGGTTTGAGGAAAAGGTGATTTTTTTTTTTTTTAACCCTGGCTGATTTTCCAGCAGATTTGCCTTTCATGTCCACAGCATTTTCTCCTTGATTTTTCTTCCTAAAGGAGAGTGAGCAGACTCCTCACACTGATGTTCTCTGGGCTGTTCATTACTCTCTCGTGGGGTCACATCCTTGAGTTGTTCTCATTTCAGAAAATCCTCTAGAGGAGAAACAAATGTTGTTCTGTCTTCCTGGAGCCTGTGGTGTCTGAGAAGAGCAAATCCAGCCTAGGATCATTGTTTCCATTTGCCCCATTCCAAGCTTCCTCCCCGTAATTCCCCTCCCACAGCCTCAGGAGGGAACCAGCCCACACTGCAGGGAAATGTGGGGACCAGGCAGGCAGCAAAGGGGTGACCCATGGGAAAAGAGAAGGGACACAAAAATAGGAAAGGGCTGGGTCACCCTGGGGTGGTGAAGCACCCACTGAGGGTCTTGGCATCTGTGCCAGGCTTTCCTACTGGCCCCAAGAGTCTTTCTGAACACTTACCTAAATTACCTAAATTAAATGTCCCTGTTCCAGTGTGCCCAGCTTGCCAAGGTCGTGGGATCAGCTGGTGTCATTGCTCCAGCATTCCCTCTGCCTGCACTTCACTCCTTGCTTGCTCTGCAAAACAATCCAGAGCAGAGCACCACTGGCAGCAGAGGACACAGGGCCTGCAGCCCACGGGTGGGAAAAACCAAGTTAGGCCCATCTAGGCCGTATTTTCAGGCCGGGTGGGAGCCCTCTGCTTGTACATGATGGGGAGGGGAAGTACATGAAATATTTCCTTGACAATCTGCCATAAAAGATCAGAAATAAGGTAGAGACGGGTGGATAGGTGCCTATTGGATGAGGGGTTGGTTCTGGAGAACTAGTGTTGGTCTCTCTTCTATAGCTTCCAGGAGACCAGCAGCCGAAACACTGCCCAACCTGCATGGGCTACTCCCAGGAGCTCCAGGATGCTGGGCAGGGCTCAGACAGCCTCTGTGCAGGCAATGACCAACTCAACAGAGCACAGAAGAGCTCCCCAAGGCAGTGCTGAGTTGCTCAGTCACCAGCAACACGCCCTGGCTCTCCCCCAGCCCCCCTGCAGGCTCCCATCTGGCACCGCATCTGGACCCGGTGGCAGCCACACTGTCCGTGTGGCAGCGTCCCCAGGGTGGCCTGACACACCCCAAGGCTGCACGATGGCACAGGGGACCAGAGCCCTACAGTTCACCTTGAAAAGTCCCATCACAGGGGGACTGCATTTCTCGTTGCCCAGCTCAGACTGA